CAGAAAATGTTCAGCATTGTCAAGATGCTGCAAAGGCATTAGGTGTGCTAATGGTCTATTTATTTTCAGAAGTCATCACCGCTTTTTTTTTCGGTTTAGGTCATAAGAATTTACGCGATGTATCCACTGTCGAAGAACTTGAAGAAGGTCGTAAGAAGATGTCTGAAAATGCATTCAAACGCGCGCATCATGTTGTAACTGAGCGTCAACGGACAGAGGCAGGTGCTCGTGCTTTGGAAAATAATGATTACGAAGAATTCGGTCGTCTTATGTATGAAAGTCATGATTCATTAAAGAACGATTTTCAAGTCTCATGCGAAGAATTAGATCAACTTGTTGAATTAGCACGTTCGGTTGACGGTGTATTTGGTTCACGAATGACTGGTGCTGGTTTTGGTAAAAAGCGACTTTTTATTCATATGTTTATAGAAGATTTTGTTTCTTCTCTAGGCGGTTGTACGGTAACATTTGTGAAAAAAGATGCTGTGAATAAATGTATTGAAACTATTGAAAAAGGTTACAAAGGCAAAGCAAACTTTTATCAGTTTCAATCATGTGATGGTGCTCGTCCTATTGATCTCAAGCAATAGTCATCTGATATTGTTGATTTCATTTGTTTATACGTATTTTTCTTTAATGATTATCGAATAATTCCGCTTTTATTTATTCGATATTCAAGCAATTCTAATGTGATAGTTCTGTATCAACGTTTTCTTTTCTAGATTGATAATCATGGCCGATGATACGTCGAGAAACACTTCATCTCTACAAAGTTCAAGCGCACCGTCGAGTAGTTCGAGAAAGGATGTCGACATCTTCCGTAAGCCACTGCCACCAGCTCCTGTTGAACAGCAAACACCATCTTCGCGTCGACAGAAGCGTAAGATACTTGCGGAAGAAGAATTCGTTCGAGATTTGGGACATATTATCGAACGAGATTTTTTCCCTGATATAAAACGTTTACGAGCTCAAGCAGAATATTTAACAGCTCTCGAGAAAAACGATGTAGTTACTTTGAGAGAAATGCATGCAAAGTATAGTATTCATCGTGGTCCAAGTCCATCTCCATCAATGATGGGTATTCGAGGTATGTCAATAGGAAATCTAAGACTTCGTCTGAACAAAATTGGCAATTTTTAGATACGCCATCGAGTTCTTTTGAGACGCCGATTAATAGAGTACGTGATACGCCAAAAACAATGAAAGATGATGAACTAGATCAAGAAGACTTATCTTCAAATGGTAGAAAATCTCGCAGCAACGACGATGATTTCGATAAACAATCTGTATCATCAACATCATCAGTAATAAGTACATAGTTTTCTGTCATCTTTGAATTAACTTATCTAACATATAAAATCGTTTTTTTTCTTGTAGAAAAACCACGTGATCTTCGACTTGATCAATACTTAGCTATAAACACCAGTGAAGATAATCTTTCATTTGAGCAAGTGATGGAAGAGACAGAGAAAAAAGAACGTGCCAAAGTTCATCAAGCTTGGCTTTACGAACAACAAGCATTAACACATTCTGTATGTAATCTTTTTCCTCTAAACAAATCGATCAATAACGATTTCTTTTTTCAAATTTCATATAGAGTAATAATGGTGCACTAGCGCATAATCTTCCGGTCCCATCGATCGAAGAACAAGCAAAAACGAATAATCCCGATGCCATAGAATTCTGGCCTTATACGGTCAAAAATGCTGTTATGTACGTTCCTGATGGTGAGTTGCGATATTCTGCATTCAATATTTAAAATACTTGTTTTCATTCAGGTGCTAAGCTGACAGCAGCAGAAAAAATCGAACAAGCTAAACATGTTCGTTCTATACATCATACGAATACTCGTTTCGAAGTCGATCCTTTTACAATCAAACCTGACTCTTCCAGCCATTCCGCAACACCAGCTGGTTCACGTCCATCAGCTCAGCCCAGATTCGATATCAATGGTCAAGAAATCAAAGATTCACAAAGTCCAAAAGTAGGCGGTTATGGATTTGTTGTTACACCATCACCCATGCCAGGTGCTCATGGCGATGAATCACCTATGATGACTTGGGGTCAAATCGAAGGTACACCGTTCTGTTTGGATGCAGGCAGTGAAACTCCACGTACACTAACAAGTGGACCACAATTCAAGATTATCGAAACACCTCTACGAGAACAATTAGCTATGGAATTAGTAGAAAAAAATGCAGCACAACATCGTCAAAAGAAACTCGAAGCAATGAAAACCATTAATCGAAATTTTTCATCCTCTAGTAATACAAAGCAAACAAAAGAATTGCTTGTATCAAATATGAGTCCAGCAGCTCAACGTCTTCTGACTAATCGTCTCGGTATTCAACGCACGCAATCCACCAGTTCACAAAGACAAAATGCATTGACACCGTCGCCCGTTGTTCGCGATGGTCTTCTTGGTGATCGAACGCCGCGAACACCGTTAAACGTTGGAATCATTAAACACACACCGAAAACATCCAGTTCAACGTCAACATCTACTGCGTCGACAGCCAGTAGTTTAACAGATAACCTTCTGAATTTGAAACGATGATAAAGCTCTTGTTTGCTTTTATGTATATATAAATATATCATGAAATCATTCTATGTCAGAATGAAAAAAACTGGAAGAGTAATCTCATGTTCACGGAGTTGATTCTATTGAACAAAATCGTTGCACTCGAAGAATTAGGTACTTGTCATAGTCGCATAATCATGTTGAATGCAAAGAGAAGAAGAAGAAGAAGAAAAGAACATTGTTCGATGATTAATGATCGTTTTGGAAATGCTTTTTCATTCTTTTATAGACTTAGTCATTCGTTCAAAGCATTGAATCTTTTTTGATCTTTTAAGTAGTTATAAAGTATACATATGCATAATAATACAACAGCGATAAAAAGAAACGAGAAGAATTGTCTTTGACTTATCATATTTGATTGTAAACTTTCTTTACAATCGTTATACAGAGAACGTTCGTTGAACAGGTTTCAAAAGATTACTGTCAGTTAATATTATGTTCTTTCGATTACAATATACATTGTCACAGGCAGATGATGACTTGTAATTATTCATTCATTCCACTTCAGACACTATTCCACTTGAACATGTACGCGTGTGTTCTTCTCTGTCTTTGATCTCAATATAAAAGTGCAGCGGACTAAGTGAGTGAATGAACAATCATATCAATGAAAATAGAAGATATATAATCGGATATATACTCTTCGAATTCCATTGACTGCATCATCATCATCATTATGTAAGTCTTGATCAATCCGAGGTAGGAATTTTGTTCAGAGCTTGTCTATCATTTTCTTTCTATTCAGATTTGCTTCTCACAATCATACGTACAAATGCAATACTTACTCGAAAAGAACGACTGAGAGTCCAAGAAAAAAAATTGAGAGAAAGAAGGAGGAGAAGAAGGAAAGAATTTTTCTTCTTACATAGTATATGTGTCTTTATCAAGCACAAAAGAAGAAAAAGAGAAGAGTTTTGAATTACACATACTTCGACTATACACAACGTTCATCAGTGTTTGTGTGTGTGCATATACGTACATATACACATATACATACATATAGACTCGTTGTCCGTTCTTATCACAGTCATTTATATTTCTCGTTGGCTCCAACTGGCGGCCAAGTAAGACATAGAAAAGAAAAAACGGCAAACGAACAATTGTGGAATCAACAAAGAACTTTCGACAGTTAAAAGTCATGAGTTGCTTACTCTTCTTCAATTTTCTTCTCTTATTTCTTTCCATATCACTTTTCATTCTGGGTGTAACAACATCAAGATGGCTGGTTTTTCTCGATGAGAACTCCAATTCCATGATAACCGAACGTTCAAATGGCATCCTTACATCTTGTCAACGACTCTACCGTCAAAACAATCTCGAACAATACTCGATTGTATATAATTTAACGAGCAGTAGTCGTGACATACAAAATCTCTATGATGATGCCTATGTGTGTTTCAATCGATTGCTAAAATGGCATAATTCTTCGATTAGTGGACCCGACTTATTAGGTAAGTTAAAATCAAATAAGCCTTTTCGAAATAAACTTTGAGATTTTTACATTTATTTGTCAATGTAAAACAATCTTCTTCTATTGAAGATATTCAACATGAGTAATCGATAAGAGAACAATTTTATATCTAAATTTAACATGAGACAGTAATTGAAGTGAACTTTAGATATCCTTCGTATACATTTGATCTATTTGTTTTACAATCTATTCAATAGATTATCAAAAAGTTCTGATCGGTGTCTCATTCGCTTGTGTATTCGTTGGTATAATTGCCTTAGTTTTCACGCAAACAATCAACACGAATGCATCGTTCGATAATATTCGTTTTTCCAAGTGTATGATCGAATGTTTATTGATTGCTAATATACTTACAGGTATGTTACAACTTGAACATGAGTATGGTATGTTTCGTCTTTTGAATAGTTGTTCTAGCATTGATTACATTAGCACTATTTCTTGGGTTTGAACGTTTGCAAACGATCACAGCATATGGTTATTCATTCTGGGCGTTTGTGGCTGGTACATGTTGTGTTTTTGTCAGTTGTATTCTAACTGCTGTCTATCGTATTGATGTTGAATTCGAATTTCGTCGATACCGACATGAATCTGTAGCGACACTCTGTTGAAACATGATCTTTCTTGCATTCGTTTTTCTTTGATATATCATCTACAAGAATCTGACTTTTTGTTTCTTTTACGTGTATTAGTAGAGCTAACAATAAATCCACTTCCGTTTTCGGCTTTTTGTTTTTCGTTTATTTCTCGTGTTTATAAGGTTTTCTTATTTGTTATTTGGTGAAATGTCAACACGACAATAACATATGCTTTCCTCATCAACAGAACAGAAAGAAAACAAGTGCAACGATTGGTTTTTTTCATTTGAGTAAAACTAAATTGTAAGAAAGTCAAGTATTTAAAGACAAAAATACTGTCGACTGCTTTCACTCGATTTACGTGATCCTAACCATGTCCGGTATGTAAGTACCTTCTTTTTCGACTAGATGCACCTTGCACTGTCGTCGATTTGTTTAGTGAGATCAAGAAAATTGATGCAAATTGTACGCTATTCGTATTCACCAATGGTTCGTTAACTGTCGCCATTCGACACGGTGATATTGGCAAAGAAATATGCGATGCGCTTGTTAATTCTACTAATAAATACATGAATCCAAATGGAGGAGTTGATAGTTCGATTCATATCAAGATGGGTCAGTTCTATACAGATCAAGTTGTTTCGATTCACAAAGCTATGGAAGAAAATGCCTGTCCTGTTGGACAAGCGCGAATATTTATTGCGAAGTTTGACTTGAAAGAGACAGATGTGCCATTCGTAATCAATACTGTTGGTCCGATTTATACTGAAGCCGAAAAGGAACATGTTACTTTTATGTTAGCATCGTGTTATAATTCATCGTTAACACTTGCAAATATCTATCAGCTAACTTCAATTGCCTTTCCTGCAATATCATGTGGAGCGAATCGCTTTCCTCCACGGGAAGCAGCGCGTGTTGCCATTGAATCTGTACGACAGTTTTCATGTAACATAAAAGATGTTCGATTTGTCTTATTCGATCGACCAGTGTATGACGCTTTTCTTCGAGAATGGACAAAATATGCGCAACAAGTTAATAACGAAACGCACACGACGAATTCTTTATTATCTATGACAATATCAACGGAACCAAAGCCGGCCGGTAGATATTGTGTAATTTGCAAAGAACAACGATTACCTATCGATCGGCAATTGTTATGTTCAACTTGTTCGGAACTGACACGCTCAGAAATCTTCAGTCGATTTCTAGCAAGATTACGTATCGCTGCCGATATATCTTACAATGAACTTGTTCACGAATGTGAAGTACTGAAACCGATCTTAAGATCTTACCCACTTTTCTACACTCCGATAAAAACATTCGATGCGAATATTCATAAGCGTGACAATGTCGCTGAATATTACTTGAATGATTACTGTACAAAGAACTTTCATAACTCAAAACCGATTGCCGTTGTCGGTGATGGAAATTGTCTGTATAATTCACTCGTTCGATTGGTTGAAGCTGGTGGAACGACAACGTTAGCAGCGGGAACATCTGCGTTAACACCAGTCGAGCTTCGCGCGAGAAATATCGTGGAACTCATTCTTAACATTCGAGTCTATCAAGCTCAATACCAACATTTATCAGCCGTGTTGGGAAAATTTGAACAATATGCAACAAAAGAAATGGTTCGCGATTCAACTCTCGTATCTGCTTGGGATCTCCTCAGTCTTCCAACTGTATTAAACATTAGCATCACATGTGCCTATCCGTGCGTTAATGGCGAAAAAGATCTCGAATTTATAGTGCTTAACAATGCTCTTTTCATACCATTAGTCAAGGATAATAACACTAGTCCTAAATCGGCCGAAGGAACAGAAGCGTCATCTGAATCAATCGAAATTAAACTACTTTTTTCGCATTCTCATCGACCTATTATTAACGCTTCACCAAACAACAAGAAAAAATGGGTACCAAATCATTTTGTACCATTACTCGGTTTGAAATAGATTCATGTCTACAATATTTTCTCTGAAAATTAAAAAAGACTTTCCTTGCGAAAGAAAAAGTTGCTTGCATTATTTTAATTGCTCGTTGTTGTTCATTCGTATAAGATGAAGCATGCTAAATGTCTGTATGAAGTGCGTCGACGAACTTATAGACTACTTCGCCGATGTTTGTTTATCATATGTCCGCAAAACACCGTGTCTGACAACATCGATTGTCCGGTAGTTAAAGTGTGATCTTAGAAGTGTTGACATAAAATGAACGGATCGAATTGAATATATTCAGTTGTAAGTGTCTGGTAAAGTGCGAACTGTCTGCCGGTAATGCAAATGATTTCTAATGTATTTTTCATTCGAATGGCAGCAAAGTCGTTTCTTGTAAATGTCGATGGTCATCGTAAAAGAGAATGCAAATGAAAATTTGTGCACATTTATTAATTTGATATTTCATATAGATTAGCAAAAGAAAAGAGACAGAGAGAAACAAAAAAAATAGCACCGGGTTGAAAATAAGATATACAGATACAAAACAAGACCATGAAACAACGACAAGAATAATATTATTAATTGTAATAATTGTAAGGCACACACTGTATCCCTTGTATTTCAATACTAGACTTCTGTTTGAAAAAATGAGGATAATTTCGTTGATTTTTTCCCATTGACACGCTCTTTTGTTAAATCAGATTCACTTGCATGTCGCAGTCGATTGATCATTGTTGTTTTCATTGTTAATTGGCTTGTTTCGTTGTTAGTCTGATTGGTGTTATTGTTGTCGTCATCGTCATCATCGGTGTAACGACTATTCCGTCTCACTTTGAGGCTGTCTAATTTTCTCGGATTGATTTTCCACGAAGTTGGATTGATCTTCGATATTTTACTTGTTGGTGTTGATGACGACGGCAACGATGCTAATGTTGAATGTTTGTCATTATCTTGATTCGAATTGCCTTTGAAAAACGAAGTTGTTCGTGCGTAGGTCGGCGATGAGGAGAGAAGTCGCAATGGTGAACCACTCAAACGAAGACGTTCAATGGTACTCATGCCACCAGTGGAATTTTTGGATGAAGCTAAACATACGAACGAAAAATGAGATGACTCCTGTTTCTTGAAGTAGGTGATGATTACTTTTAATGATTTTGGCATATACTGGAGCTTTTTGTAGAGATGAATTCGATGCTCGTATACTAAGTGAACTACCACCATTGAATAATGAACGTTTTCGTTCTCCATTGGAGACAGGCGAGGTCAATAAAGTTTGTTCGTTATTCGATGAATCGTTCGATGAATGAGTTAATTCGATATCATTTTGATCAACAAGTTTTTCAGCGAGATTCGATAACGAATTGACACAAATTTGATAAGTATTGGAATGATTATCATCATGACCATTGAAGTATTCTAGAAACATAGATAAAGTAATAGAAGCCTAAGAAAATGCAACTAGAACGTACTTGTTGGTGATGAAGGGACTAAAGAAACAAAGAGAAGAAACAGATAAGTCATATGGTGACCAAATAATCAACTTACAGTCAAATAGATCAGGACATTGGGGATCAACAAGTGGCATACGTGTTGTATCTACAAGAACAATATAATCAGAAGGAATAAGATCAAATTTCGACATACCATAATCAATACTATTGTAATGTGCTAGAAAATTATCTGGAGGAATATTCATTTTCCCAATCGTTGAATAGTATTTTGGATCACTCTGATATGAGAAAAAAAAAGTTCAGACGAAATTCTTCAATTGTGGGACTTACGCGTCGACGATTCAACGATTCATGAGATTCATATTGATGTTTATCAATCACGAGAGCAGATTTGTCCTTTGAATCGTTATTTTGCTAAAGAGAATTTTTATATACTCGAAAGTCTTGCTACTCATTTGATCTTACCTTATCATTAAAATTATTCAGCGTTGTTTGTTCGAGATTATTATCAACTAGAGCCATTGTTTCAACAGTTTGTTTACCATTAGAATTTCGTTTGATTAATGTTGGCATTGGACTTTCAATTTGATTCGCTGGTGACAACGAAGGTGACGCTTTCTGAATCAACAATGGTGCCGACACTAATGGTTTATCATTGTGAATATTCAGTTTTCTCTTCTTCTCTTTTCGCTGCTGTTGACAATAGATAATCAATGACAGAAACAATAAGACCACTAATACAAATGTACAAAATGTCACTGCTAGACCAACATATAAAAGATTCTTCGTTGACATAGGTAAATTTCCTAATGATGATATACACGAGTAAGAAACATTCACATCATTCGATGGGATACATTGTTCATTGAATAAACATGGATGACTTTCACATGGTTGTAAATCACGTTGACATTGTCGACCAGTAAAACGTGGTTTCAAACAATTACATGTGAAACTTGAACCGTACTTCGTTGTTTGACTGACACAGATACCACCGTTATAACATGGGTGATACAAAGAACATAGATCATCTTTGTCAGTGTATTGTCTCAGTGTACGCGATTCAATCTCGGCTAGTTGACAACCGTTGTTGGTACCGACATGTTCGATAAATGACTTATTCTCTTGTTTTTGTAGGTAGATCAATTGAGTGTTCAGCGTTAGGTTACCTAGACATCCATGAAAATCATTGCCGATGTAGATTTGTTTCAATTGATTTGTCGATATTGGTTGAAACAATTGAATTCTATTGCTGAAAACATGGTCGAGACGAAGAAGATAGTAGAAGTTTTGATTTGTTGGTGTGTAATCAATGGAAAAGTAGATATGATGCCAAAGACCATCATTGATGACGACTTCATTGATTCGAAAGAGAATCTTTTTATTTAGTTCAACATTAACATGATTATCCATGATTTGAATGACTAATAGATGTTGTTTCTTTCTCTCGTCAACCGAGACCATCTTCAGCAGTTTACCTTGGCCAACCTGTGTGCGAAATGTGAACGAAATATTCGTATGCTGCGTGAGATTCATCGATGAGTTCATTCGAACAAAACTGTAACCATCGAATGTCAGAGTATTCGACGAATCTAAACCCACACAACAGATCATGTACTGAAACTTTTCTCAAAAAGACAGAATTCTTACCGCGACACGTCGGTGAATTAATATTAATACAATTCAACGTTGTTTCTGGCAGAATTTCGTTCTGATTACATGGTTCGTCGATACACTGACATGTGTACAATGTAGAACTCTCTTCGATACATCTTTCCAACGGCGAACATGGATTAGACGAACATGGTGATTGATAATCTTGCTTGAATTGACAATGTTGCCCGTAGAAATGATTCAGACAAAGACATTTGATGTTCCATTGATATTTCGGTAACAGACGTTCGTATGTATTGTAATAAAAGTAGTCGTACTGATTTTGATACAACTTGATCTGACTGGTACATCGGCCGTTGTTTTCGCATGATTTCGTATGACATTGGTTAATGGAAATCTTTTCAATAGATTTGATATTTGGGATCTTTTCGAAGACACTACTCGAGTTGCGCAAGACGTTATAAAGTAATTTTTTGTGGATGTACCGTGGTGGTCGTAGACGCGATGGATACCGAATAACTGCGACTAGTATTTCGATTTGGTACGGAGTTTTCATATCGAATGAATAAAGATGAACATGGCGCATGTGAACGCCAACGATTGCAGCTAGATTTTCGCGTAGTAATGGTAATGTGTGAATAATGAATTGCTCGTAGGTTGACCGAGGATCGAGATTGACAAGCAGAGAAATTGTTCGATCTAACATTTCGCGATCAATTGACCATAGATGTACATCGATAGTTTGAGCTTTTAACTGGGATTTGACATCGAGTGGAAGATAAATAATTGTATTGTTGTAAAAATTCATGTTCGATATCGGTTGATCAACAGCGAAGACAGTTAGTTCGATTTGAAATTGTAATAAACGTTGATGTTTCTGCTGCTGGGAATACAATTGTTGTTGATATGAATTGAAATACAACTCCGTTTGATTATTGGAGATTTGTTTAAGTGAAAACTGTTTATTTGCAAGTAAATTATAGGACACAAATTGATAATTGGATTGATTCTGAAGAGATAATTCACCGAAATTAATCTGAGGATACTTTTCATCAAGATTAATATATCCATCGATGGTACGTGGAATGAGTGTTGGAAGAAGAATCTGTCGTTGAAGATAGATGATATGTAAGTAAAGATCAACGTAATATGATGATGATAAAGTTTGATTATCCCAAACACGGATGATCAAATGATCTTCATGGTCGAGGAGAATGGGTTCAATGAGGATCAATTCAGTGACGTTTTCATCTAGTCGAAGTTTGTACGATGAAAATGTATCATTGAGAATTTGAAATGTTAAATTCGATTGATCTTTATCAATAATTTCGATCTTATGCAGAACGGTGTTTATTGATGGGTGATAGAAATAAATCAGCGTAGTGAAGTTCTTTGTTAGAAACTCCGGATAATTATCATTGATATTTCGAATGGAGATTGTCAAATTCAATGAAGACAATGGAACAGTCTAAAATAGAAAGCGAACATCAGATAAAATTATTGTTCTTTGCAAGTTTTTGTTTACTTGATTTTCTCGATCTTTGACAATGATTGTGACATTGTATTGTCGTGGATCCGTTTCATAGTCAAAGGTTTTACGGCTAATAATCGTACCATTTGACTCGAGGATTTGAAAAGCATTGACTGTATCGATTAACTCATAGACGAATTCATCGGAATTTTTACCGATTGTACAAACGATTGTTCCGGCTGGTTCGTTCTCGTCGAGAAAACAATTATCTCGATTTTCTAAGTTAAAGTAATTGTTATCATCGTTAATTATCGATATAAATACATTTGTTGAGTCAGTTAAATTAATTCCATCTTCGAATACTTCAACATTCACTGTTATATTCGACATTGTTGTCGGAAATGATGTTCTTAATCGGATTATTCCTGTTCGTTCATCGATTGTAAAGAACTCTGTTGAATTTTGCAAAGAATATCGAAAATTTCCATTCGCCACTGGATCTTCACTTGTTGCATTCAATTGAAATATATTCGTGTTCGTTCGAATTGTTTTGCTTATGTTAACGGAGTAATAATTTCTATCGAATTTTGGTCCATGGTCGTTCAAATCGTTGATATGAAGAATTAAGGCATCAGACAGATAATTCTCTCGATTATTTGTGTCAATAGCCATGATTTGATAGCTGATTTGCGGACCGTAGTACTCCCGATTGAGTTGTTCATAGAGAAGGATCGAACCAGTTGTTTGATCGATGAATATCTGTGAAGAAGAATTTTGAAGATAAAATACGTAATTCGATTGAAATAGATGATCAATATCGACAAGCTGAATGCGGCCAACATAGAATGGAGTAGGGTTGTTTTCAGTTAGATTGTAAATTAGGGAATTTTGATTGAAAACTATCGGATTATCATTGATATTGATTAATTTAATGAGCACTGATATAGAACAATTCAATTCATTCGGTTGTAAATCAATTGAAAATGAATAGAATGTTTTTTGTTCGTAGTCCAATCGCGAGTTTGATGTAAGCAAACCTATATTTTCCCAAACAAACAGTTTTAGAGGGATTCGGATAGGAAAGTAGCACAAACAGACCTGTTTGAGAATTGAGTAGAAATGATTGTGCATCCGAATTTGACATAGAATTAACTTTAAATTGTAATCGATCAATCAATTCAGATGAGTTGTTGTTAATTGACAATAATGTCTCTTTAACTGTGCCAATGATCGTTCCTATTGGAGATTCTTCTTTAATCATCCACTGAATTGGTATCTAGAAAACAGCGAGCAGTTGTTTTAGTCAACGAAAACGAAATAAAGATAGCTTACCGCTGGACATACGAAATATGACCATTTGGGCGTTCGTAGAATCGAAATATTCGTTTGACAATAGCTTAACGATGATGAACTGATCAGAATAACCAATTGAAAATATTCATTCACTGTTTGATTCAGTAGTGGTGATGTCAAATAAAGTTGTCCGAAATTATTTATCGCAAACAGACCATAGAAATCTCCAGAAAGTATATAATAATTATTCGAACTATTCTTATTCAAACTGATTTCTTGTATGACAGTTCCTGAAATAAATCCACACATTAAAAGTCGAATATCTCTCAATCAATCGTGACTTACCTGGTAGACTTCGATCTGAAAGTTGAATTACTTGGTTTGGACACGAGTTGATTTCCGTTGGTATTTGAAATTCCTCTCGTACATTGAATAAGATTTCAATCGAAGCTGTACTATTCGCATTTGTCTTGTCATCGATCGCATATACATTCAATTCAATTTTATCCAAATCTTCAATCGATTTCGAATGGTAGACAAATCTTAGCATGCCGTTGGTTTGATTGATAAATAATCCATAAGGATTGCGTTCTAACTGATAACGAATTGGATTGAAACTCTGTGCAAACACTCGAAAGACATCATCGTAATTGTGATCATAGACGTAAAATCGGTAAATATCCGAAGAAAATGTTGGTGCTTGAGTGAACTTTCCGAAGAGAACTTTCACTTGACTCGATGATACACTGATTTGATCGGTGAGATGTAATTCAAAGAAACACAAATCAGACAGGATCGGAAATGTCTTGAAAAAAAGTTCATTGGATTGAATGTAGAAGTTTTCGTGACAATGATTCTGTGTTAATGATGTCGGAAGGATTTTTAGTGTTAAGTTATCGATTGGAAATGTTTCAATAGGAATGTTTTCCTTTAGTAATTGCTTGTCCAGTTGAAAGTCGTAAGATTTCTTCTCTAAATGAAATGTTCGTTCGACGAAATTGATTTGTACTGATGTTTGAATAACAAAATTCTTCCAATAGGCATTGACGGTCAGATGGTATCGATCAGTTGGAACGAGATTTTCTTTGAGCATCAAACGATTTTCCTGGATGTCAAATAGATTTGTTTGATTTTTCAATTGGTATTTCGCCGATTTGATCGGTTGGTTGAATGAATCAACGATTTCAAATTGAAAAATTTCCATCGGCACACTCACTTGAGATGAAATCAGTGAAATGTAATACAAATCAGAGTTAAATCTCGGTTGAGTCGAGTAAACTAATTTAATCTTTGCATAAACGATTTGATGAGCAAGATCTTTGGCTGAAGCATAAAATTCGTAGACTGATTTAGTAAACGAAGTTTTATTAACTTGAATTACACCCGAACGTGGATCAATTTCAATCCCACTAGATTGTAGATACAGCTCATAAGTGATCTGATCATTTCGATCGATATCATATGCCGAGATTTGTCCAAGAACGGTTTTCGTTGGATCGTAATCAAACACATATTCATTCGAAGAGAATTTTGGTTGATTACCGGAATAGTTATTGAATTGTAATTGAATGTAAGTTTTAGTTAAATACAAGCCATCGCTGACAGCAATGTTTAACTGATAGAAATCTTTGTCTAATGATTGATTCGTTCGTGTGAGAACTCCGCTGGTGTGATTGATTGAAAAGAATCGATGATCGTCTTGATTGAGGAGATAGTATTTAAGATGAAGATTGTCGGCGAAATCGAGATCATTTGCGGAGAATTTGGTGAGAAATGTTTGCGAAGAGGAAAGTATTAAGCTCAATGGAGGATTGAGGAAATTTGGTGGGTGATTATTGTAGTCATTGATTGTTAATTTAAGAATTGATGTTTCGTTGCTTGAACGAAATTTAAGAGAATAGAACGGTTCTGTTAGGTAATTAACAAGTAGAATATCACCAGATGTTGGATTAAGTTTGAATAGATTTCGATTATAATCCTCTAGTGACGAAGAATTTGTATGAAAGACAACCGAACCAGGTGGAAGAATTTCCGAAATGGTTTTCTCATAAATTGCCGATGAAAGCTCATGTGAATTGATGACATGAATTGTGACATTAACCGTCATGTTTTGTTGATAAATTAGATCGCGAGCGATGATTTGAAAATGTTCCGAAATGTTTTTATAGAATTCATTGGAAAAGTATTCCAGAGTACCATTATCTGGATTGAGAAGGTAATATTTCGGATGATCATGACTAAATTCGTAGACGAGATGACTGCGGTTCAAGTCATATGGTTGAGCAATGATTTGACCGAGAAGAATCGAACGGTTCATGTAGTTAGACAGATTGAGGTGAAATTCGTATTTTGGTCGAGGAAATAATGGTGATTGAGATGAAACGATGTCATATTGAACTAGAGTATTGTTCGGTAGTCTGAATCGACCAGAGTTCTACATAATGATGCAAAATAAGAAAAGATATGTGTTTGAAATCAAATATTTTACCTCTGCAATATGGTATTTGTTGATGAATTCCACGTGTGACTGACTTCCATTTCTAATCATCATGTACGAAACTGTCGTTTGAGTCTTTTCGATGGTTATTAAGCATTTCGAGTTTTGCAATTTAATCAGCAACAAGACATCATCGTCGATAGTTTTATCTCGATTTCTATAACGTAATAAACCATACTGACGGTCAAGAATGAACAGATCATTGTAATTTAATAATTCAAATGAATGTCGACGTGTTTGACCGCAAATCGATTCGGTTTGATTGGTATTCATGATTTCTACGAAGCCGATCAATTGTCGATCGGTAGAATAATCCAGATGATTTAGTACACATTCGGATATTTGGTTGATTTCATTGATGATGATCATTTGGATACGAGCAATTTGTGAATCATCGTCTTGTATGAGAAAATCGTAGAAATTTCCATTTGTAATAAGTAGTGTTCGATTTCGAACGAATAATCTTCCCGTTTTCTCAATGGATATCATCGGCGAGATCTGATCATTCAAAATCGTCCAATTGTTACTCGTTTTATTCAAGTGTCCAATTGTGGAATTGTTGACAAATGGTGCAGATAATTTAAATTCATAAATCGATTGAAATGTTCTCTTCTCAAGTGGAATTTCACGATTGACAACAAGATTCAAACGTGTAAATGTAATCAATGAATGATAAGTTGCATAGACAAGAAATGAATATCGCTTTAGCAAACTCTCGAACGAATGGTATTTGATTAAACCAGCATATTCATCCAGTTGAAAGAAGTTCACATGTGTTTGATTCAATAGGTAGTAACTGATATCAAATGGATTTGACGAATTCTTCAAATCGATATGCAATGGTTCTTGTTGTTTGTTGTAAACGAATGCAGACGAACCGAATGAACTATTTACATAGCCCGAATAGATTTCATTCGGAAAGGTGAAGTCTAAGATGTTAATTGAGTTTGTAGGTGTTTGATTATCTTTCGAATTGATGGTGCATTCGGCAAGATTTGATGCTTCACCATTCAATGGTGTAAACGGATCGAATGCACGGATGATTAAAGAATTGTAGGGTTTGTATTGTTGTCCTGTGAGATGATCAATGGTTTTCGAAGGAGAAGATTCGTATGTGAAAAGATATGGAGATATTTTGAGATACGATGGACATGGAAAATAAATGCCAATATTCGAGATGAATAACGTTACAATTGTGGTAATTGGTTCCGATTGTGATGTATCAATGATTGTTAAATTTAAAGGATACATGTATGAACGTGCACGTGACTCGTCAGTGAGGTAAAGAGATTGATTTGATGAATCAATCGAGAATAAATCTAGTGGATCACCTAAAAACGAACAAAAGTCGGATTAATTTTCTGTAATTATTGAAAACATTGAAGATGATGTTTACCTCGAAGAATTTGTGCATTCGATGGGATTTGTTTAATTCCTTCCTCATCGTAGTTAATCAATTCAAAATTCATCAAATATTTTCGTCGATTAGCTGCCAATGATGTTTCGAAGATAACTAAATAGTTATCTTGCATAAACTGATAGGATTTCTTAGTTTGATTTGATAGATTTCTTTCATCAAGAATAGTGATATGCAAATTCGCATGTGCAATTTGATAATTATGTTGACAACGATATAGAATCGTTAACAAATGTGTTTGACTCGCCGAATTCACCAATGAATTCATGACTGTAATCGAGCCTGATGATGGATTGATACGAAATAAATCTTTCGATTTAATTCGTTCGACTGTATCAATAGAATAAGAACAATCACTGGCAGGATTTTCAATTGATAAACGAGCGATTTCAGCACCGATTGGAATATTTCGTGAGATGGAACTGTAATAATCCTTTTGAGAAAATTCCATAGATGGAACGGAGTTGTTTACGATACGAATAAGAACTTTAATCGTATTCATATTCATCCAATCATTCGTGACATTGATACGAAGGTCAATGAGATTCGTTTCGTTAACTAATTCGGCAATAGGACGAATGAGAATCAATTGACCCGTTTGAAAATCTACATGAAAATATCGCGTATGGCGAATATCTCCAATCATGATAAACCATTGTGTTGTATTGTGACGATTATTCATGCCGAGATGTAATATTGTTGAACCAACTTCTGTGGTTGTTAGTAAATCGATGTTGATGGTTGAATCAATTGATGTTAACGAAGATTTATTAACATCAATACTTGGTAAAATTTGTATTTTAATCGGCAAAGAAACACGACTTGAAACGATACGCCATTTTCCACGACTTGATGCTTCATCTTCTTCGTTTTCATTTGCGTCCGATAGAATATCATATCGATATGCAACGGTAAATGCTTCAACCTAAAATACAAAAGTTATTGAGCAAATTTCTCCAATGGACAAAAAACCGAGTCTTACATTAAATTCGTATGTTGTATAAGCTTTCAACGGTTGTTTTGCAGCAATGTATCCTGTTTGTCGATTGATGACAAAATGTTGATTTGAGTCAACAATCCGATAGCGTATTTCCAGTTTTTTGCTATAAACTTTCGTATCCAAAAGTGCAACGATTTGAAATAGACGTTGCCGCAATCTGCCACTCTGACGATCGATTTCAATCATGTCAATTTTATAATTCGGTGCCGAGAAAAATTTCGGTATCAATTGCCGTCGTCGAATCAGATGAATATTAACATAACAATGTGCAGATAACTTATACTGTGTATCGAATGCATTCACAGTTAGAAGATAATCGGACTTTAATCGACGATTACTGTTCTGATTCGATGAGAGTAAACTCAGCGAACCAGTTCGTTGATCGATCGAGAAGAGTTTCTCATTGTCTACAATGGAATATTGTAGATGAGAATTTTTATTCAACGAAACCGCTTCGACACGATGAAAAGCGTGTTGACTTGCGTAATCATAGACTTTGATATTTTGATAAACATCTACGCATTGTGGGAGATAAAAGTTTTCCTGTCGTATCGATATATGAAGATGAACAAATGTATATGCTGGATGAGCGCGATAGCGAGTTANTTTACGAACCCTGCGCGCGTGCCTGTATTATCAAGGATATTTGTTTGGGTTCGATGATGATGATACGATTACGCAAGGCACTTGCACACGAGCGAACAAACGCTAGGAATGAATGAACAAGTACAGCTCGGTTGAGGAGATTATGCATCGATATACGCATTTTCTATGCTTCTCTTACTCGGTACTATGATTATTAGTTTGTGTGAAATAAATTTTTCAATGGGCAATGATCATCACATTTAGCATCACAGTTGGAATTCTGCCGACATATGTACATAGATGGGCAGGTGATGTGATAAAAGATAGGGTGACGGAGAAAAAGTCGATTAGTGTAAAGTGATTGCTTGTGATGACTAGTGGACAATCGGTAGCCATCGTTGGGCATGCCGTGAAGATTGTTTACGGTCAAGGCTAGATGCGTGCATGTCGTTGATTAAAGTAACATGTGCGAGTGAATGAATGTATGAACGAGTGAAGGGTGAGAGTTAGCAGGAAAAAGGATAATGTCTCCAACATTGTCATTTCCCAAAGGAATCACGCAGTTTTCTTCGAAAGAGACAAGAGCAGGACACCTGATCTCGGATGTACATGTGTATATAGCGATTTTCATCCATGTTGCATGCTGAGTGATGATCGATTGTGAGCGGATCTGACTGACATTAGCTTGTATATTTTGTGACCGCTCAATTGACATTTTGCACCAAAGAGAAAAGAGAAAGAATCGAATAACTAAGTAAGGAGAAGCAAGCAGATGGTCACCATCCTCACTCCTATTATACGCATTGTCAATCAATTCAAGGAGAGATACAAAGATGGAGAATAAATGTACCGTAGGATAAGCAATTCGTTCCTGATTGTTTATTTATTCGAATTAAAAAATGCAACTGAATGATCTCTGTGCAACAACAAGTGGCACTTATTACAGTTACACATGTGTACTCATCACTCTATACTGACCAAGGTCATCTGTTTTGTTTGAAGACAAGAGAAGAGGAGAAGTCTGGCGTAAACTATAGGCTTCTTTGTGTCGCTTTAGTATGAAATGGGGTCGACCGGATGTTTAACGGTCACACATGTCAAATAGCTCAATCAAAATCGATTGACATGTGACAAAACATCATAGAGAAAGAAAAAACAGCTAGTTAACAATTCTTTGAAGGAAAAGAAAACAATCTTGATTTTATTACATTTTTTTTTCTCTTATTGATAAAATTTTATTAAAAAAAAAACTCATATTCGTCAATGATTTCTCTTTACTCGATTTTGACCACTGACCGTCGTTGATCGTCTTCCATTTGAATTACAACAACAGAAACCAACGCGTTTCTTTTTCAATTTCTTCTGACTTTGTTGAGCTTTTTGTTTCGCTGTATGATGCAACGCAATTGTTTGCGGCAAAAGACTTCTCTCATTCAACATCGATGAAGATGATATATCATGTTGAAATGGCAAATTTGCTTGTTGCTGATAATGATCATCAGGTAAAACAAATGATTGACCATATAATCCCGAATAGGCAGTGCCGTCGAATGAAGGTGATATATTACGTTTCGTTGTACGACGGCAGAGACAAAAGAGACCGAAACAAAAGAGAAGAATGAGAATTGTAAGAGTTGCAATTATAATAATGAAAATAGTGTCTGAAAGAAACGGGTCAGAAGCAGTTGCATGAGCAATAACTTCATTTTGATGCATAAGAAATGTGCTTGTCGAAGTGAAAAGACTCGCAATTTGATAGTGCTGTCCAGTTCGATTGATTGATTTCTCTTCATCATGATGTGGTTTCAATTCGGAAGTCTTGTTTGTTGGAGAATAAACCTAGAAAAGCAAAGATTGCTCGCCCTCTTTTTTTTTCTCAATTGAATTATTACAGGTGCTAAAATAATACGTTTTGATATGTGTGAATAAGGTGTTGAATTTCTTTCATTAGAAATTCTGTTTGTTGCCTGTTTGTCATTAATAATAGAATCTGGAATCGGTTGTGAAACAGGAGATGCTGCTGATGGTAATGGTTGTTCAAGAGAAGAATGAATGGTTTGATTTCTATTCTTAAAAGTATGATGTTCAATGTTCGTTCGTACTATTGTCGATGATGATGAACGATCTTGTTCATGATTAAGTGTCTATGAATAGTATTAATGATTTTCTGAATGCTATTCATCAAATTTGTGTGAGAAAAGATAAGCTGATGTTTTTACAGATGTGTGAGCAGCAGGACTAATCATTCATATGTAGTTTACACTATCGACAAGGAAGAGAAATTGATTATCAAATTTCTGAATCTTGTCAAAGAAAAAAGTGAAGAATTAATCACGATGAAAATTTCTTCGGCATTGTCGGATTAAAAAGACATCTTCTTGTCGGATTAATAGAATTTCTTTGATAGCGCAAAGGAACGTTTTCAATGTCGAATCGTGGAAAATTCTACTTACGAGATTTGTTAATTGTTCTGTTCCGGCTAATGACGCAATATTTGATGACTGCATAGATTTTCTATTAAAACTCGTTTTCTCCACTGTTGATGGAGTATGATCAATCTATGAAGAATAACATACCGTCGTAATTGTTTCATGAATAATAGATTCTCCGTTTCATATTTAACTATCCTTACAAGATTCTCAGTGCCAGTCGATTTCGTTGATATAAATATTCGATACGAGACGAGTTCCAATGGAATTTGCTTTTTCTTACACATAGTTAAACATGGATATATGAACATTGACAAGATCTTGACGCTTTCATGCGATACATGACGAAAATGAGAAGAATAGCAATGAAAAAAGTTCTACAAACAATAGGTGATTTTCTCTGATTCTCTCATCTCTCGTTTTTCTGTATTAGTTCATACGAACAGATTATTCAATGCAAGGCGCGAAGTTAACTATCGAATGAAACTATTCAAACTTGTTATTCTTTCATTTCAAGGTTGTTCTTTTCTCCTCAACAATAATATCAACCGGTACTTGTCGATTCAATCATCTGTATGAGAATATTGAACATATTTATTAGCTCGAATGCATATTGAATGAAATGAATTCGATCAATTCGAGTTGAAGTAGGTGTATATGAATCCAGAAGAGTTCGATCAAAGAAAACAAGAATACATAACCGCAAGATTGTTTCAAAGAATGCGATGATGCACATGAAAGAAACAAAGTTTCGTACGAAGTAATAAAATACAATTGAAAACCATCAATTCGCCATTGACGTTTTTTGATTATTTATTTTAGACCAGTATGATGGGAAAAAGACAGGAGAAAAGATTTTTTTGGCGTATATATTATATACACAGGTAGGTAAAAAGCGAATATACAATCGTCGTGTTGTAAATAGACTATAACGTGCCATAATATTTACCTTTTCATTTACTTTTTCTTCTCGCCATATAGACACATTTGATTCTGTTTTATGAAATAATTTTCGTCAGTTAGACTTTATTTTTATTTTTTCAACTTGTGACACTTGAGATGAATGACGATACGTTCGACAACCGAATGATATCAACTCGTCGGAATATCCGACAACGTTGTCAATTGAAATATTCTCGACATGGAGCACTCACATGGGTAATACCGAATCTTTCTCATCTATTCTACTTCATTTCGATGTTTTCAAGGACAAATGGACAGAACATGATTGCATATTTTTCTCATATGTCGATGCGAATGGTAATCAACGGAATCAACTTGAACTACATTCGAAAAATAATCTTCATAAGCCAAATGGAAAAATAATCGATCTTCAACAACTTCAATCCCTCACTTGTGTACACGGAAACACGAATAAGGACGAACCGAAAGATATTCTCATACTTAAAATCGCCAGTAAACGACATCGCCTTGGTTTCGACAAAGTTTATGATTACAGTCAATGGAAAAGTCTTCTAGATGGGGTGTATAACTCAACATGGGATATGACGAATTCGAGTCAGACAAATGATAGCGCCGCTGTGAATATGTTTTATGAATCGGTGAATGGTAAATAGAGAAATTTGATCATAAGAATAACAAGTTGCCTTGTTATTTCTATAGCTCGACGATATCGTGTACGATTTGCTGATTTAGAAACACAAGAAATTTTAGTATTACCATCGAGTGAATGTGAATTAGTCTTCGATGTTGATAAATTAGTTCTTGAGCAATATCATGATAAGCAGTACACCTTTCCTCGGTCAACAATTCGCACGATGCGTTTAATTGATGACAGTACACTGGAATTAGAATTAGGCTCACGTGCGCCAGTTCAGGGTTTCATACGTTTCCGTTTCGATTCACCTGTTGATGCCCGATCATGTTATTCACAATGGAATGAAGGTATGTCGATTAGAAATCCATGCGATCAACAACTTATATCTGAGAAACAAACTGTACAACACCTAGAACGTAAAACTCTCTCTTTCAATGACACGAGCTCGTTTTATTTCTTTATAGCATCTATACATTCAACACACGTTCCCTTGCAACCACAATCTAGTTACCAATACCAACCACCGCGACCTCCACCAAAGAATATCTCGAGTAATGTTTCGCACTTAAGAGCAATAAAGACGAACTTTATCTTTTTATAGAAGGTTCATATTACAATTCCGAAACGTCGTCTTCATTGGTGACGACGACTCGTTTACCACCAAGGGAATGTTCTTCCTTTCAAACACTTGTCTGAAAATCTTCGAATGAAAATATTGAAAGAAAAAGAGAAGAGACGAATTTTATTTGACTAATTTTAATTGCTTTCTATGAAAAAATTTCAAATCTGATCATCGATATTTTGATTGAGAGAAAACAACTTCTGTTCACGTATATTTTTTTAAAATAATGAATTAGAAAACAAGGAGAAGAACAACAACAACAACAACAACAAAAAAGATTTTCTATAAAAAAATAAAATCGACCAAGACTTCTTGCTTCGCTTTTGTCACACCGTCGATGGTACACGTTTGTTTGCTTTTAGAACTTTCAAAGATAACAATGAATCATCTCTTGTTGCACGTTGCTCTTTCTTCTGGTTATACTTATTCCAAAAGCCAATGAGCAGCGCATTATTAACGTAGTTGTCCGATGATCGTGGCGATGATTTTTCTACTTGTAAATAATTCAATCTAGCCATTAACAATGGACTGTTGTTACACGACAGAAATGGTGATTTTCCCAGCGGTGTCCGACTTGAACGTGAGCGCGGAGGGTACAAAGTACCGAATCGTCGAGATGATCGTTCGGAATTAGCGTCATAGCGATTGTTATCGACTGAATAGTACGATCCTCGATGACTTGATGACGGTGGTGCTTGAGGAATAAGGCCTGCACGCGCACTAAGACCCATTCCATTCATTCCTGTCGCAACTGGTATGCTTCTTCCACCACCGAAACGCGTCGGAAAGAATAATCGTACAAATTCTCGACGAAAAACTCGTCCGGTTAATGCATACAGGAAAAAATTACACGAATGATTAATATATTGACATAATTCAGCAATGGCTTTTCCTATAGCTAACGGTGTTTCATAATAACCAGGTTTAATTATACTTTGAACAATTTGCATTAATGACATCGGTGCGGAAAATACACAGAATGCAATGCTAACGGATAAGAGCATAAATGTCACTCGACGACCGACACGTGCATTATTTGTAAATGTATTCGATGATATCGGAGTAACTGTTAATGTTGATGTATGTGTCGCACAGCTTAAACTTGGTGTTGCTGTATATTGTCGATAACTATGCAGATGACGTAGATTTTGTAGTTGAGCGCTAATACCTTCAGCACGAAAAACTCGTTGGATAATCAAAATACTTAAGATGAGTAAAATACAGAACGGAATAGCGGAGTATTTCAATGCATCGATAAAGACAAAAATCTTTCCGACAAAATGTCTTGCCCATGTTTTCGGATGACAGACACGATAATGTCCGTCGATAATTTCCAATTCTAATGTTAGAAGAAAATGTCCATCAATCAATGCAAATACGATAAACATAGCCAAGAGAACCTAGGAGAGAAAATTCAAGGCTATATTCGAACATCATTAATCAATTTGATAAGATTCACTGAACTATATCTAATAGATGTTTCTTTTCAGTACAATGAAGATGTAATGAATTTCAAACGTTACGACTAGTAGAATGTCATCGGCTGAAAATCCACTTGACGTTAATGTCTCAAGTAGGATTTGCAGTTACATTTAGATATATTTACGCAGTACTAATTGCGAATGAGACCGTGATGATTTGACTATGAAAAAGATTGTTAATTTCGCGTCATAGAAAAGGAAATTAATATTTAAAAGCCTCTGCAATTGTTGCTTTTGCACTCTAGGAAAAAAAAAACTGGTCTATTAATCTGAAAATGTATGGCAGAACATATTTCAATATGCTGATTTGCCGTCAAGAGGAACATTGCCAAGTATTGTGCATTTTCTTAGTCATAATGTGAAAGGAAATTACTCAAAGAAATATCATTAGAAAACTAGGAGAGTGTTAATTAAAACCAACGACGCCTGCTGAGATATTTTTAACCTAAATCTCACAACTTTCCAAAGTACATTTGGAAAATAGTAAGAGAGGTGTGTATATTGTGACAATCAGATGGAACCAAACAATGACAATTTGACACATATTCAGAATTGTAAACAACAGTACCCAAAAAATATTTTGTCATAAAGATTAATCCGCTGTTATACTTTCTATTAAGTTATCTTTCTAGAGCACTGAGGTAATCCGCTTTACTCAATGTGCAACTCGTCAGAAAATGTCCGTTGAAGTTAAAATTCTTCTTAATCTTCTCAATGATGTATAGACAGATTTGAAAATCTTGAAAAACTCTTATCTGATATTTACCCATTTCGCTCGTTTGGTCGTACACATTTGTGAAGCTCGTAATGGATGTGACACAGCGAAATAGCGTTCGAATGACATGCAAACAATAATCCAGACACTAGAAAGCGCAAGAGAAAACAATGACTATCTGACAATTTTGTTCTTTACCTTGTATCTGCGAAGAAAACAAATAAAAACGGAAGTAATTTACATGTAAAATTCGATTTAGCGACAACAGTTGGAACGTGTATAATATAAAACCATTGATTCAGACAACCTGTCCAGAGAACAAGTGTATCGGTGACAGCCAATGCTGCCATATAGAAGCACGTTGACGATACGCGCATCCGTCGACGACGCATAACTATGAAGGTGGTAATATTGCATATGGTACCGAACAGGATCAAAATTGGAAATGTGACGATTTCAACGCGATAGAGAAAGACTAATAAAGCAGCATTCTCCGTTTCATTGTACATTATGAACGATTCTGTTTCGTTGTCCATCATTAACAATGTTAATTCCTTAGTTCATCTGAAAACATTTGGGAAATGTTCAATAAAGAATGTTTCTTTTTATTAATTAAAGTTGCGACTAAATACTCCTTTGACTCAATGGACTACCTTGGTAAATTATGCGGATGTCAACATCTTTATCAAGTCCATTTGCGTTTTTCCACTAAAGTAAACGACCCTTTTCTCAAATTGAGTCATGTCACACTTTGGACTGAGTAGCTTCTCACAACATTCTATTAAACAGCTAATTACACATAAACGTTTTTCGTCCGTTGCACAAAAATGAATAGAACTGCTGACTTACTTGTCAGAAAATGCCAGCTTTGTTTTATGAAAATAGATGTTATCTTTTGACTTGATTTGTTTCCTTCTCTCATTAGATATATATATATATCTAGTTTATCCTTCAACTTACAGACGCCGTTACAAACGTTGATAAAATCAAATTAAATTGATTGATAACATGTCAGTAGATAATATAATAAAGGATTAAAGGACATGTGTCAGTTTTTATAGATCTACAGCTAAATAACGCGAAATATGTTGTTAATGAACCGTTTAGAAACATGACAAAGTCGAGGGAGAGAAACCGATTGTTCTTTTCATGATGAAAGTTGTTCAATGATCAGAAAACGAAGATATAAACGATTTTGAGCGAATAGTTTTGTACTCGTGAAAATTTACTCTGAAGATCGGCCTTTTCTTCTCTGGTTTAATGAAATAAGATATGCATGTTTTTGTTGTTACAATAATTGAAGAAAACAATTTTTACGAAAGCTAATTCGATACTTACATATCTCTTGAAGAAAAAAAGATTATATTCAGAAGAAGACGAAGAAGAAAAGGACGAAGAAAAATGAAATGTAAAAGAGAAAAAAACTAAGTTGATGTTTTTTCTCTGCAATCTAATAAGAAAAATAGAACTGATGAATAAAAGCAGCAGGAATGCTTTGAGCACAGTTTTGATGAACAAGTCTTCGAGATTACTTTGAATATGAATGATTTTAGTTGTTTTTAGTTTTCTTTTTCTGTTCTTCTAATTGTATTTCATGGATGAATGTATTTTCAAATTACCCAATGTCAACAAGAGTATCAATCTATTCATAATCAATGAAAAAACAACATCATGTATGCATTCTAACGCGTATTCTTAATGAGATATACGTGAAAATATTACAGAAAAACAAATGCATAACATCTAATGACTGCAATGAGTTTATTTCGAAGTAATTGAGAAAAGAAGTTTCTTTTTCTTGTTATGCAGGAAGTCCAACGAGAAGAAAACCCATCCTTTTCTATAAAGTCATTTAGATAATTATTTCATTCAGAATAAAAAGAAACTAACAAACGTAAATCACATCGAACGAAGGGGGGAGGGAGGCGTGGTACGATTGAAACCATGATGTTAAACTACATAGCCTTCGACTCTCTTTGAACTATTCCCTCCTGAAGTTTGGCACGTTTCATAACTATAAAACGAGTGTTTAGTCTGATTCATAAGAGATTCTACAAACGATAAGCAAATCTTTTGTGCGTGTTGGATTTCTACTCAGAACAGAATAATATAAACTATTCGTCTTACTGACAAACATTCTCGTGACAATCGATTTGATCGCTTTCTCCTTTCTATTTAAGCTATGTGAATAGACAAGCTAGAACACGAACATATTTACGACTATCATCAATTATTCAGACTAATTCTTACAGTAAGCGAACAATATGCTAGTGGGACAAAAATTAAAGAAAAACTATCTATCGAAAGGACAACAAAAGATCAACGAGAAATGTGTGTTCATCGTTCTATTTATCGTGAAGAAAAGTTAAAGTAGTTGAACAATATGTTTTCTCTTGTATTCATCGTGAAAATGTTATTACGGATCGAAAACAAAAGAATCATGGACGATAAACTCCACCCGAGATTCTTCTCTAACGAACATTTCTAATCTCCAAGTGCGAATGAACTTAGCTTCATACGATTCAAATGTAAACCAAACGTATCCACAACAGAATTCTAAAGTGTGGGTGATAAATAATTTATGGCATAGGAAAAAAAATCACATTACATAGGTTATATGTGAGGGTCAAATAGACATGAACTACATTCTGTATTCTCCCAAATTTCGAAAATATTCAATATTTGTTCGGTGCATTTCCTACTGTATTAAGCACAAAGAGGATAATCAATATCAAGCACTTAAGCTTTTCGTGAATATTCAAGGTCGTCCATTTGATGCTAACTTTGAGGAAAATCGATATATAGAAACTAAAACGATGCATGAGATATATTCATAATCAAGTGAAGTTGGAAATATTAACACATCGTTATATTTGAG